TGGTGTGGGGCGAGTCCCCCCTGCGAAGCCACAGAGGAGAACACCATTGAAATTATGATTCTGTAGATTTTTATAAATCAAATGACATCTTCCTTACCTTTCTATCACTAACTTGCCCACGAAATGAGATTTTAGTACATTATACTTTTCTAGTCCGCTTTAACATAAATGCTCTTACTACGTTAAAGTGCACAAGGGACAAACACACACAACACTAAACCATGGGTTCAGTAACAAGGAGAAAAAAGTTAAACTCACATGTAAGTCATTTTTATACATATAATGCCATATAACAAAAAATAAAGTAGATCCTATTTAGGCAAGAATTTTGGTAAGTACCTGAAAAAATATCTTCGCATTACAGTATCAAAGAGAGAGACAGGCCTGCCCCCCTCCCACCATAGAACATGAAAATTGCTAAAAATAAACCCTGGAAAATGAAATTAATAAACCTTCCAAAATAGAAGCCCCATATACATTTTATAATTAACAGGGTACAAAGCGTTTTATTGCAAAGGGTATTGTAGTAGTGAGCTGTGTATATGAGAGCAGTCTAAACATTTATTATCTGCATGCACTCCAGGTAAAGTGAGTGTGATCTGGATCAGATGTATCTGTACTGAATGGTGGAGGCAGTAGGTAGTTCTGCTTTGTACAAGGGTATTTGTGACATCTATGGATTACTTTGAGGGGTATTACAGAGCTTTGATTGTTATACGAGGCGATCTGTATTTTACACCCTCTTGTGTCTATGAGGAAGGAGAAGAGGTGCATGCATACCTTCAGGGTGGAGTATTAATCTTCTCTGTGCAGAATTGCGTAGGTTGCATGAACAGCCTTAATTGTGCATTTTCTTGTTTTCAGTAGTTCGAAATTTGCTTAACTCCACATTCTGCAAAGGGGTGACATACCACCAAGCAATCTAAATCGTAACATAGTTTTTTACCATAGGATTAATAATAATCTGTAGTAAAAGGTGCTTGGTTTGAGTCTTCTCTCCTCATTTGATGGGACAAGTTGCTTTTCTCACAGCTCTGATTATTTGTCGTCCGGCAGTGTTCTCCTGAAAGACAACAAAAGTGATCTCACACAAGATAGTGGTTTAAAAAAAAGGGAGCAGTAGAGATCATTTATCCTTCAGAAGAATCAATATCAGTTAGTGTAAAATGTATCCACTTGCTAAAGTGCTATGCACATATAAAATTCAGGTGGACCCTGAAAGATAGAAGTTTTGCATGGAAAAATGCATAAAATGTGCCAAATTAACATTGGTTAATCCACAGAAACAGTGTACCAATGACACTTGTTTTAGTTCAATTAATACATTATTTCTCCTAAGAGAATGTCTTAAATATCTGTCAAAGAGATTGAGATGCCATTTTCAAGATCTAGATGTAGTTTCAATATTTCTATTCGTTCAGTTGCAATTAAGTACTGCGTTTGCCTGTAATTATTTTATTATGAGTTTAAATCCATTTTAGATGAATAACACTGTTTGTGGGAGCGTCTGTTGGTTTGAACTTTAGTTCCAGGGTACCAAATTATAGACTTATAATGTAATATTCAGGATTATAATGTTTTCTATTTGACCTCCTACAGTAGTTCAACAATCTACAAATTTTTACACACCCATTTCAAAAGCACTCAGAATGCCATAAAATTACTAATCTCTAACTATGGGAATACAGCTTTTATGAATCTACCCAGGTGAAGCTCTTGTTGGAATTTTATATTTCTGAACTTTCTATTTTATAGAATAAAAATATTTTAATAATTTTCTGTCTGTAAAATAGCTACATCTGCTTACATCTAAATATGTTTGCTTGGAATGATTTTTTTTTAATATATATGCACACACATACTTTGGACTAGTAGGGGAATACAAAGCTGCTCCTTTCCATTTGAACCCCTTCCAAAGACAATACTTACGAATAAAAATTAATTTGAAACTTGGATGCAACATAATTGTGCTCTGCTATTTATAACTACTTCCTTGGAAGCAAAATATAGTGTAATAAAGTATTAACACATCAAATGTAAGAGTTTAACATATTTGGGGACAAAAGTGCCTCTGTTTTGAAATTATTAAGTGGAGGAAGGTATGATAATTGTTGCTGTAACACCCAGAAACCTCAGTTAAAATTCGGGTCCCACTTTGTAAAGCATTGTACAAACATTCTGTCCTGAATTGATATATATGATATATTTTGAACTAGACAGGATTTGTTCAAATAGAGATAATACTTTAAAGTATAAATGTACAAAACTGACCTGCGTTGTCAGTCTAATTTAATCTCATAAACTCCTTGAGGCCAGAGATGTCATCATCTATATGTGCTGTGCTCAGTGATGGTACTCCATTAATAATGTAAACCCACTCCAATGAATTGAAAACTAGACAAGATTCAATTAGGTTTCACTCTGAAGGTCAGATTTTCTTTTATCTATTTCCAAATTAAACTTCCCTTCATGAACACACAGAAGTTTTCTTAGAGCTTTGAATTTCTTCCTGAGTGTCTTGTTTGGTTAATTATTATCAGATCTCTGCACAAGCTTTATCACTGAAACATCTCCTAATTCACACATCAACAGTTGTATTTTGCAACACAAAACAAAACAAAAAAACCCCCTTTAATGCTGAAATTCCAAAGCTAAACTAAAAAGCAGCTAGATAAGTGAAGAATTACACTATCTTTTCTGAGTAGCCCTCATCATCCTTGTTGAAACTAATTAGAGCTTAAATAGACATTCAAGATAAGTACTTGTTGAGGTGGTTTATGGTGTATGGAATAGTAATGCAGTTTTGGTTGCCATTGAGGGGGCAGCAGAGGTCAGCTACTACACACCTTGTACCATCATCAGATCTTCCAAGTACAACAATAAAACATTCTTAGTGTTGGTATTTTTCAGTTTTACAATTTTAAATATTTTTCGTTTCCATCCTAGTATTAGGCATGATAACATAAAATATTCCTCACTGTAACTAAAGAAAAGATTGTGTCTATGTAAAATTATATTTGTATCCATTGTTCTGATATAATTGAAATGAAAAGAAAGAACAGTATAAAAAGAGATAGTGTTGCTGATTCTGTGGTTTGAACTTGTCAAAAATTAACTATATTTGAAATGCTAATAATTTATTGTTCAGTCGAGTACAGAATGTGCTCTGAATTGGATACTAATCCATAAAATATTGTTATATATTCTCTTTTACTATTGGTATTATATATCTTTTAACTATAACTATTTTGCTTTGTCAAAATTGAGCCACTTACATTTTAGGTAACAATCTGAATCCAAGTGCATTGCAAAAATGCAAGGTATTAACTGAACATTTATAAATATAAACCTAACACCATAGTCATTGATATTAAGTTGTTCCCTTTGTCTTTAGTGGTCCAAAATAATCAATTTAAACACTTCTATTGTGTATCTGTTCTCTCTGTTATGAACGATGAGTTATGTAAGCAAACATATGTAGTAAAGTGCTTAGTGTGTTCAATACCTAAATTTACAAGGGAATGGGCCTAGAATGTCTTAAGAAGCTCTAGTGGGACTTTAAAATTTCTTACTCCACAAACTAGGCTGGCTTTTTATTTCTTTGACTTTATTTTAATTTGGAGCTTTCACACAAAAGTTCTTTCTGAAGGTTTATTAACTTGTTTCATTCTTTTCAATAGGTTGTGAATGGGTTCATGGGGAGTTCTACGAGGTTAAAATAACTGGGCCAGGAGTTTAGTCAAAAAAATTGACTGATTTGTTCCTTGAAAGTATTGCAGTCTATAGAGGCTTCTGTGTTCCAAATCTAGGGACCAAACCTGAAAACAGTTATTTACTTGAGTAATAATACTCTTATGGATTGTTCAACTTAAATACTGGTTTCAGAGTAGCAGCCATGTTAGTCTGTATCTGCAAAAAAAATAGGAGTACTTGTGGCACCCTAGAGACTAACAAATTTATTAGAGCATAAGCTTTCATGGGCTAGAGCCCACTTCATTACTAGATACTATGATACCATTAACTTTGAATAGAGACTGGGAGTGGCTGGGTCATTACACATATTGAATCTATTTCCTTAAGTTAAGTATCCTTACACCTTCTTGTCAACTGTCTAAATGGGCCATCTTGATTATCACTACAAAAGCTTTTTCTCCTGCAGATAATAGCTCATCTTAATTAATTAGCCTCTTACAGTTTGTATGGCAACTTCCACCTTCTCTGTATGTGTACATATATATATATATATATATCTTCTTACTATATGTTCCATTCTATGCATCCGATGAAGTGGGCTGTAGCCCACGAAAGCTTATGGTCTAATAAATGTGTTAGTCGCTAAGGTGCCACAAGTACTCCTGTTCTTTCCACTTAAATAATGGACTTGTGTGTGTTTACAAAATCAGGTTCTTAGTTTTGTTTTGTTTTTTCTTTAAATTTATCGCTCTGTATCCAATTTATTTTTAAGAGGAACACAGTCAGCCTTAAAAGTTAGAATTGTATCTAAAAATGTTGTACCTAATATCACAACAACTAACCTCCAAAATTACTGAATGATAATTTCACTGTTTCCTCTGAATAGTCAGTTTTGTTTGTGTCAGTAATAGTGAAATGGCTAAAACCATAGAAATTGGCAGGGAACTCAGGTGGCTGTAATACCTAAATGACTTTTAATTTACTTTTTTAAATTGACTATCTTTCAAGTTGACAGAGTTCTTTTACAAAGCTTTAATCAACTTATAGCTGTCCTTTAGGTCTCTCACAACCATTCACCTCTGTAGGATAAGTCTCCCTTCAGAGCTGTTTAATTCAGCTCTTTAATTGACTTGAAGGGGTTGAGTGACCTAAGACCTTCCCAGAGGGCTGAGCACAGTGCATCTGTAGTGCTTCCAGACCCTGAAATTATTCACTGTTTACTAAGAAATATTATGAAACTGGCTGATGCTATTCAATAACAAGCTAAATGGAGGTGGTCTTTTTTGACAGTCTTTCTTTTATTACAGGCATTGGATCAAGACAGAACTGCACTACAGAAAGTGAAAAAGTCTGTAAAAGCAATATATAATTCTGGGCAAGGTAAGTGATTTGGGTCTTTTGTGAGAATCTAGACCATTCTATTAAATAATGTTTACAAAGTTTGCTTTGCTGTTCATTGCATATTAAACTTAAAGAATAGGTGATGCCTGCCTATTCCATAATACAAGTACACCTCTGCCCCCCTGACACCTCATTGGAAACCATGTATTTCAAGGATGTCATCCTGATTTCCCCCCAACCCCCCAAAGCTCCCTACTGAACTGATCCTGCCTTCCTGGGGAGGTAGGGGGCAGGGGAGAGAGAGAGAGACTTTTTCTCATTCTGTGCTACCATAGGTATATTCCACTGGAACAGCAAAGCTGTTGACCAGAAGAGACCTGTTACATCAGGAGACTGAACCCTGGATCAAGATTATAACCACATGAATGAGAATGACCATTAACTTCCTCGCCATCAGAACTAAAATGCAAAACGTACCCTTTTGCCCAAGTTTTACAACATTAGTAACCTTACACCATCACTCTCACTCTCCTGTATTAAATAATAATGTACAGAAAACGAAAACACCGTGCATCTTGTCAGCAGCGGGGGGCCAGAAGGGGAGATTTGCCATTTTTTGCCCCTTAGGAGGAACTTGGATACAGCGATAATGGGCACCAATATAAGAACCTAGATGAATGGCTAGAATGCAACTATGTCATGAAATTTTGACCCTTTTGAGGTCTGTACTTTACAAAATCTCCATTAATGAATTTTATTAGTATGTGTGTAGGTATTCTTAATAAAGTTGGTAAACTTAAATAGGTATTAAATTTAACAAATTGTCAACAATCAACACAAATATTTATTTGGATAGTGTGCGCCTTATTAGGGCCAGCTTCTACCTATATCTATTGAAATCAATAGGAGTTTTGTCCCTGGATATCTAAGGGAGCAGAATCAGGCTCTTGGTCATTTGCCATCTTATTCAGATGGAATTACCCTTGTTGAAAATATTGAAGTTCAGGAAAGCACAATTTGTATACCTTGGCACTCACGTTCAGCTTAGCAAATGTCTTGCCCTTTAGAGCAGCTTCTTGGAGTTACAGGTTTTAAAAAAAAGATAAAGTTGTTGTTCTATGTTGGTAGTTGACTGTATTTGGTAGTTGTAAGGTTTTTTAATGGCAATGTATATTACTTTGTGCTTCTCCCCATTTCTCTCCCCCACCCATCATTCCAACCCCACAACACACGCATCCTCCCCTCCCTCGCTCCCATAGCTCTTCAGTTGATTTGGATAAACATTTTGCCAATAGATTGTTAAGCCAACTAAACACCTTATGCAAGTTTAGAGTGTATATAACTATCTTTTGCCACATGCATTGTTTGACACAAGTGCATTTACTTTTACTGAAGATTAGATTTGTAAAGGTGCTCTGGGCCTGCAAAGTCTCATATTTGACTCTAAAGAGGTCTTTAAACAACTACATGCTGATTGACTTTCAAAACTGACTAGCTTTTAAGAACTGTCAAACATTTACTGCCTCCTGTGAAATGTACATGAATTGCACTGTAGCCTCCAGTTGCCATTTGCCCCAGGCTTTGAAATAAAACTGGTTTCAATGTCTTCAAAGCCGGTAACCATGGCATGTTATGTGAACTGTTTAAATGACTCAATAAGTGATATAACATTAGTTAGGAGCCATTTTAAACAATAATGTTACAATTGAAAATTAAAAAGCTTGTTTGTAGCCAAGTCAAATATGAAGCTCACTTCTCTTTCTTTTGTACACCCTGGAAATTATTTGGAAAATTATACCATTTTCAGTAACTTCTAAAGTCTAATGATGAAGGGGCAGGCAGTATGTTGGAAGAACCAAAGTAATTTTTGAAAACTACTTGCTTACAAGTGTCTAAATTGATCTGACAGTTCATTATAGGGAAGGAACGTATAATGAAAACACTTAAATAAATATTAATAAGTAAGGACCAAGAATAAATAGCAAAGTCTCAAAATGAAACCCATTACCGATCAGGAAAAAGTTAAAAGAATATACATAAAATTGTAGTAGTCAGAAATTATGTTCCAAGGAACAGATTGGTGTAAGCATCTTTAATTCTTTCTTCATATAAAGTATGAAACAATATTGTAATTCCCTCTTCAGAATGTTGTGCAGTTGGGATCACTTATAGCGAAAACAGAATGCAGAAGGCAATTAATTCAGACTATAGTTAATAAACATAAGGAAGCGTTGTATGCATGTTGGTCTCAGGATATTAAAGAGACAAGGTGGGTGAGGTAATAATCTTTTATTGGCCAGCGTCTGTTGGTGAAAGAGACAAGCTTAAAAGCTTCTCTAAAAGCGTGTCTCTTTCACCAACAGGAGTTGGTCCAATAAAAGATGTTACCTCACCCACCTTGTCTCTCCACTATGGAAGAGTTGGCTTATACAGGTTGGAGGGGACATAAAGGAAGTGAGTAGTGCATATAGTATTAAATATATTGCGTCCTCCAAAGGAAAAAAAATGTGAAAACAAAGGGATTAGAGACTGATAGTAATAGTAGTTCAGATCAGTTTGTCTCTTGAGATCTCATTCAAATAGAATTTTTCCACACAAGATACCAAAGACAGCAATGGAACCTCTTGTCATACATCAGTTCAAGAAGGAGATGGATAATATTTTTATATTGCAGGGGGAGGCCACTAGCTACATTTGGGGGGCTTAGAGGATTTATTTTATATTTTCTTTATAACCGGCATATGAGGTTAATAAATCAGGTTAATAACTCTCAATAACAAATAATACATTTGGGGGGCTTAGAGGATTTATTTGATATTTTCTTTATAAGGGGCATATGAGGTTAATAAATCAGGTTAATAACTCTCACTTACCTCATAAACTCTTTTGAAAAATCAAAACTGGCTAGGGGTGGAGGCAAATAAAATTACATTGGGGCAGTAACAGTGCCTGTCTGTTGAGATCTCTAATCCAATATATGCTTTTCAGAAAGTGACAGTTACATTATTGTTTTGCCTGTAATCATATATGAACAATGACATTCAGGGGAGTGTAGTCCCCCGGAGTAGAGAGTCCCCGACCACCACTCCCAAGAGAAGGAGGCGGGTGGTGGTGGTCGGGGACTCTCTACTCCAGGGGACTGAGTCATCTATCTGCCGCCCTGACCGGGAAAACCGAGAAGTCTGCTGCTTGCCGGGGGCTAAGATTCGCGATGTGACGGAGAGACTGCCGAGACTCATCAAGCCCTCGGATCGCTACCCCTTCCTGCTTCTCCACGTGGGCACCAATGATACTGCCAAGAATGACCTTGAGCGGATCACTGCAGGACTACGTGGCTCTGGGAAGAAGGATAAAGGAGTTTGAGGCGCAGGTGGTGTTCTCTTCCATCCTCCCCGTGGAAGGAAAAGGCCTGGGTAGGGACCGTCGAATAGTGGAAGTCAACGAATGGCTACGCAGGTGGTGTCGGAGAGAAGGCTTTGGATTCTTTGACCATGGGATGGTGTTCCATGAAGGAGGAGTGCTGGGCAGAGACGGGCTCCACCTTACAAAGAGAGGGAAGAGCATCTTTGCGAGCAGGCTGGCTAACCTAGTGAGGAGGGCTTTAAACTAGGTTCACCGGGGGAAGGAGACCAAAGCCCTGAGGTAAGTGGGAAAGCGGGATACCGGGAGGAAGCACAGGCAGGAATGTCTGTGAGGGGAGGGCTCCTGCCTCATACTGAGAATGAGGGGCGATCAGCAGGTTATCTCAAGTGCTTATATACGAATGCACAAAGCCTTGGAAACAAGCAGGGAGAACTGGAGGTCCTGGTGATGTCAAGGAATTATGACGTGATTGGAATAACAGAGACTTGGTGGGATAACTCACATGACTGGAGTACTGTCATGGATGGTTATAAACTGTTCAGGAAGGACAGGCAGGGCAGAAAAGGTGGGGGAGTAGCACTGTATGTAAGGGAGCAGTATGACTGGTCAGAGCTCCGGTACGATACTGCAGAAAAACCTGAGTGTCTCTGGATTAAGTTTAGAAGTGTGAGCAACAGGAGTGATGTAGTGGTGGGAGTCTGCTATAGACCACCGGACCAGGGGGATGAGGTGGATGAGGCTTTCTTCCGGCAGCTCGCGGAAGCTACGAGATCGCATGCCCTGGTTCTCATGGGTGACTTTAATTTTCCTGATATCTGCTGGGAGAGCAGTACAGCCGTGCATAGACAATCCAGAAAGTTTTTGGAAAGCGTAAGGGACAATTTCCTGGTGCAAGTGCTAGAGGAGCCAACTGGGGGGGAGCTTTTCTTGACCTGCTGCTCACAAACCGGGAAGAATTAGTAGGGGAAGCAAAAGTGGATGGGAATCTGGGAGGCAGTGACCATGAGTTGGTTGAGTTCAGGATCCTGACACAGGGAAGAAAGGTAAGCAGCAGGATACGGACCCTGGACTTCAGGAAAGCAGACTTCGACTCCCTCAGGGAACGGATGGGTAGGATCCCCTGGGGGACTAACATGAAGGGGAAAGGACTCCAGGAGAGCTGGCTGTATTTCAAGGAATCCCTGTTGAGGTTACAGGCACAAACCATCCTGATGTGTCGAAAGAATAGTAAGTATGGCAGGCGACCAGCTTGGCTTAACGGTGAAATCCTAGCAGATCTTAAGCATAAAAAGGAAGCTTACAAGAAGTGGAAGGTTGGACATATGACCAGGGAAGAGTATAAAAATATTGCTCGGGCATGTAGGAATGAAATTAGGAGGGCCAAATCGCACCTGGAGCTGCAGCTAGCCAGAGATGTTAAGAGTAACAAGAAGGGTTTCTTCAGGTATGTTGGCAACAAGAAGAAAGCCAAGGAAAGTGTGGGCCCCTTAATGAATGAGGGAGGCAACCTAGTGACGGAGGATGTGGAAAAAGCTAATGTACTCAATGCTTTTTTTGCCTCTGTCTTCACGAACAAGGTCAGCTCCCAGACTGCTGCGCTGGGCATCACAACATGGGGAATAGATGGCCAGCCCTCTGTGGAGAAAGAGGTGGTTAGGGACTATTTAGAAAAACTG